TCTGATCTCTCTCTGCCTCCAGCTCCCGGGCAATAGGCACACACCACGTCTGCTCTATGTAGTGCTACAGATGGGGCTAAGATTGCATTCTTACTGAGCCAACATCAGCACCAGAGCTACTCAGCAGAGGCTCTTGAGAAAGGGATTTCCTGAGGCATTGCTCTCTGAAGTCCCCTTCAGTGAGGAGGGGCAGGGGAGGGGCAGAGGAGGACAGGCAGGAACCAAATACAGCCACCCTTACCGTGGCTTCTGGGAAAGCGGGTCTGGTGCGCAACCCGTGTCATGAATGACTCCATCTGTGTGTCTGCAATAGTGGATTGATCACGTGGCTCCACAAAACCCACGTGGTTCCTAAATTTAGATTTCTTGTCCCCAGAGCAGTAGCAAACACCATGACACCCCAAGGTCCCAGCATCCCCTCTAATAACTCAGGTCAATCTGGAAGGGTCTCTGCAAACCTCCCAACAGCACGTTGTATGGCCCCACTGCTTAGCAATGGCGGGGGTGCCTCTGCTCAGAGACACACACAGTCGTGGAGGGCACAGGCTCTGAGTTCCCAGGGCACATCTCCACATAGGCGTTTCCCCCTTACCCCACAGTTTGGTCCAGCAGCCAGCCCTCAACCAAGTGTGCTTCAGTCATTTTCCTCTTAGGATTGGCGCCCATCCAAACACAGTTTCAGCTGCACCCATGAGGCCCAGAGAAGAAAGGGTCAGAAGAAACGGTCTCTGCTGGAGGTCAGAAGACGTAAACCAACTGCTATTGCCACTTGCAGGGCTAGAGACTGATCCGTGCCTCGGCTGCCTGGTGCGGAGCCACCCCTGAAGAGACAGGGAAGAGTACTCACATGCGCCACCGAGTCTGCCTCTGTCTCTGCCTCTATCTGTCTCTGTCTGTCTGTGTCTCTGTTTCTGTCTCTGTTTCTGTCTCTGTCTCTGTCTCTCTCTGTGATAGAGATGCGCTAAGAGAACGCACATGCGCATGCCTGTCGTAGGTGGGTGGTAGGGGAGGCAGAGACTCAGGGATACCACTGTGGAATTCTTTGCAGCCAATGTCAGTGTGAGCAAAGCTCTCTCTAAGCGATGGAGGAGCTCCTTCTGCTTCGGTCTTCTCTCTTGATTGACAGCGTCTGTTCCCAGAGCCAGAGAAGAGGCCTGCTGTCTGAGAGCAAGGACAAGAGCAGAATTCACCCCCCTGGGGCTCAGGGATATGGAAAGAATATGATAACATCATTATGAAGAAGTTGGGTTCTGGAGGCCGAGAGAAGGCTCCACTGTTGGAGGATTTGCCATGCAAACATGAGGACCAGCATGTGGGTCCCCGGAACCCACAGAAAGTGTTTGTGGGCTTGGAGCCACCTGTAATTCCAACCTTGAAGGATAAGCTGAGCGCTCTGCAGAGCAAGCCGGCTAGTAAGACTAGCCTTAATCGGCGAGCTCTAGGTTCGATTAAAAGACCCTGGCTTGAGGAATTAGGTGGAACCATGATGGAGGAGAATTCCTGACATCAACCTTAAGCCTCCACATGCATGCAGACATATGTGCATGTATGCCCACATACATGTATGTTCACACATATGTATGCCACACCACATACAAATGGGAAAAGGGAAAAAAGTCACCTCATATCTGCTATAATGTAGAGTAAATGTCTCTCTGGTGACATTTAGAACACGTCACTCCGTATCCCTCAAGTTCTGTCCAGGCCCTTCAATGTAGATGAAGGCACCAGACACCTGGGAGCCCTGAGGAAGTTCTGTTGCCACTCAAACAACAGGACATCTTTTCTGACAAAGCCACGTGCTGTGGGCCTCAGTGCTTAGCCTGCAGTTCTCTTAACTACATGCCTTGAAGACTACTGTGAGGTTGGGGTGAGAGTCAGCAGAGCTGGCTTCAGGAGGCGCATGTCCTGGTTTGCTTTCTGTTGCTGTGATGAACACCACGACCAAAAGGACAGGCACATGCTCTATGCTTGCACAGAACAATCAGAGCTGTCACTGAGGAAGACAGGGTGGGGCAAGACGACAGAGAAACACTGCTCATTGGCTTGTTCCTCATGGCTTGCTCAGCCTGCTTTCTTATCCTACCCAGTACCACCTGCCTAAAGTGTGGGAACCTCTTACATCAAACATTATTCAAGAACACCCCCCCCCATTTGCCTAAAGGCCGATTTGAGAAGGTCAATTGAAGTCCCAGATGGCCTTGGCTTTGTGCATGTGATAGACAGACGCAGAAGGATCCTTCCGATGCTCTAAGTCTGTATTATTGGTAACGTCTCACGCTACTAAATGCCCGGCAGAGACAGCGTCCGTCTGGGGGGAGCAGTTATTCTGGCTCACAGTTTCAGTCCATCACAGTTGAAGAAGCTGCATCCATATGGTGGATGTCTCTTGGTGGGGTCTCTTGTTTGGATAGCATCCATGGACAAGGAAGCTAACAGTTGGACCCCAAGAGCCTACCACTCCATAATGCACTTCCTCCTGCTAGGTCCCCAGATTTTGACACTAACAGGTGGGGACCAAATGTTTAAACAGACAATATAATAAAGCCCCCATGAGATCCTAAAGAAATTTTCTTTTGTCACACCACTCCCCTGCTGTGACCCTCCTGTCAACTAGAGATGCCTAACCAACCACAACTTTCACCTGGCTTGTTTCCTGAGCCCTCTCTTTCTCCTCTTCACTGGCTCCAGCTCTGGCTTCCAGCTTCGGTAGGAAGAAGCCAAGCTTTTCGATGATTTGAATGTGGTCGCCACCCGCTGCCCATTCATGCCCTTGGTTACTCAGGCTGCTGGATTTTACCACCAGAAGTTCTGTGGTTTTAAATCCAAACCCAGGAGCCTGCAAACTTTTACTGGGGAAACAAAACCAGGGCATGGGCTAAACCCCACCTCTTTCATGGTTTGCATAGATGTTGAGCTAATGGTAGCCTTCATACTGTTAAAGTGTTAACCTTGAGTGTCAGTCCTTAGGCACCCCGCCCCTTTAAAAACAGTCTCTCACTGACCTAGAACTTTCCAAGATGGCTGGGCTGGCTGGGACTGGGGATGTGGCAGAGCAGCGTCGTGCCTTCTTACAAGTGTTCTGGAGAGCAAATTCAAATCAAAGCTTGCAGCAGGATCGTTAGAAACTGAGCTATCTCCCAAGCCCCCAAAATGGTTGCTGTTTTGTTTTTAAAGCAAGTGAATCTGGGTGTCCACAGTTACACCTGTATTCCTAGCACTCATTAGGAGGAGTGTTGTTGTGAGTTTGAGGCCAGCCTGAGCTACATGTAAGACCCTGTCTCAAAACACAATAAACAACAAATGTTGTGAGACTATATTAAATGTAGTGTAAAAGTAAACAGAATCCAAGTCCCAGGGCAGGGCCTCGAAACAGTCATTCTTATCCGTTTGTCCACAGGGACTGGGCCTCGAAACAGACATTCTTATCCGTCCCACGAGATTGGGAGAAAGCCATCATACTGACCCTCTACAGACACAGACGTGGCGGAAAATAAATCAAGGCCTCTCCTGGCTGAGCAGTTTCTCATTTCTCCTTTAAGAAAACCCTGTGAGTCTCTGCTCTAAACAAGTAATACTGAGAATTCAAACTTGCTTGTGGGCTAGGCATGATGGCACAGAATGTAACATGGCTGCAACCCAAGTGCTCAAGAGGCTGAGGCAATCAGAACTCAGATCACAAATTCAAAGCCAGCCTGGGATACAGAGTGGTTGTGCCTCAAAAAGTAATAAATTAGGGGACTGGAGAGATGGCCTAGTGGTTAAGAGCACTAACTGCTCTGCCAGAGGTCCTGAGTTCAATTCCCAGCAACCACATAGTGGCTCACAATCATGGATCCGATGCCCTCTTCTGGTGTGTCTGAAGAGAGTGACAGTGTGCTCATGTAAATAAATAAATTCTTATAAATAAATATATAAATAAATACATGATAAAATGCCTCTGAGCTCATGTTTTCTTCCATGCCAGTTTTATCAAAGTCTTATTGCAAATTTACTTACTGTGTGTGTCTGTGAATGTCTGTGTGTGTGTATGTGCCTGTGTGTGTCCATGTGTGTGTCTGTGTATGTATCTGTGTCTCTGTGTGTGTCTGTGTATGTGTCTATGTGTGTGTGTCTGTGTGTATGTGTCTGTGTGTATATCTGTGTATGTGTCTCTGTGTGTCTGTGTTTGTGTGTCTGTGTGTGTGTCTGTGTGTGTGTCTGTGTTTATGTGTCTGTGTGTATGTCT